ATTATACAGTGAATGCATTTACACATGATAGTGATGAAGAAACACCAAAATACACGTCCTAAAATAATGAAGATGAGGAAGAACTTGTGGGTGTTTATTAAACACAAAGCAAAGTTGAGCTAGTGGTTTACATTGCTGAGCAACGTCACAACTTATCTAATTAATATAGAATTCAATAGAATATACTGAAATAGAATTCATCTGCTTCAAATTTAGAATTCAATGGCTTCGAATGTCTCATCAAACTAGAACGTAGTCTGAATTGTGCTTTCTAATGTGAATTCAACTATTTGAGTCTTTAGTTTAAACTGTTTGAACACTGATATCAGACCGATTCATTAAATTTGATATGATCTTTTGATTTAAGTCAACCAAGTTTCAGAAGAAAAAAGAAAATACTCAAATGAAATAAAAGATTTTATCCACTAGATTGTACAAAAAAAGACATTAGCACATGATTATTCGCACTTTTTCCATTAAATTTTAATTTCATCGAATAGCATCATTGTGATATTAAATATATGGCTCATGTTGTATTTGTAAGATCTCACACACACTTACAACTCAAAGACCATGTAGAGCATCCCATCGGAGCTGTAGGTCTCCAGCAGCTCCACGATGTGAGGATGTTTGAGCATGTGACAGATACTCGCCTCCCGCTTCAGATCTGAGGAGGAACAGACAGACGATCATTAACGGATTCATTAATGACACGTTACACGCATCAGCGTCACTAGATAAACGCTGATGCACAGAGGAACATGTGAGATCATGAGCCTGACGTCACTGAGATCACACGAGCCGCCAGCAGAGGGCGCCGTGGAGCGTCTCATTCACACACACACTCTCACACACCGTGCCTTCAGCAGAACTCATGAATGAGAGTGTGTGTGTGTGTGTGTGTGTGCGCGTGATGAAGAGCAGCGCAGTGAGTCTAAACATCAGACGTGTCTTCAGTCTCCACAGAGGAGCTTCAGATCACAGTAAACATCATAAACCAGCCGTTCAGAACAATAGCGACTGAGTGTGATGATGCTTTTATTCAGTGAAGTTCAAGAGTAACTTACACTCAACATTACTAGTTATTTTGTCCAGTTTTTGTTCAACCAACAAAAATATTATCAGTGCATCGGTTTGTCTGAATACAGAGAAACATTCCATTATATACTTATATCAGTCGTCAGCCAATCAGATTGGAGGAACGGCTGTGTCATGTGATCGAGGGTGGGCAGTATCACTATATGCTTTATTAGAGCGCTCGTCACAGTCTCCTCATTTTCTCAAAAACAGATCTGCAAAAACATAACAGCTAAATGCTTACTTTCGAAGAAGTCTAGCTGTTGATATGGATGTTGAAAACAAGCAATATCGTCTTTATCTTCATTTGATGTTGGATTGAGTCTGGATCAGTTCACTTCAGTCCCTCACATCCTCATGGAGAGATTTACCATCATGTTCATTCATGTAGTCGCAGTGACTGAAGGCTTCAGTCGCAGGAAGTGGCCATTTGTTTGTATTTTTACAAATATTCTCAGTGATAAAACACTCATCCTTGTCTGATGCATGTCTGTTTGTTTGCTCACAGATGGCTCAGGGATGAAGCCAAAGCCCGGAGCTCTGGCAGCCTAGCGGGCAGCAACACAACACACAACCAAACCCTCTGATCACACACGTCACCCACAATACTTTTGGCATGACGTGGGTATCCATGACCAGGCCGCATGGAGTCTGTAGAAATCCAGACGCTCCACAGATTCTCACCCAAACCAGACAGCCATCAGTCACGCCCTGCTGAACCCCGATCTATCAGCCTCCAGTTACAGCAATACACCAATCAGAGTGAAATACAGTGTGTGTGTGTGTCTGTGTGAGAGAGATAGAGAGTGTGTGTGTGCGCGTGTGTGTGTGTGTGTGTGTATGTG